TCTCTCTCTCTCTCTCTCTCTCACACACACACACACACACACACACACACACACACACACACACACACACACACACACACACACACACACTCAACGGACGTCGCTCTACTACTCACCGTGTACAGTACGGGAGTGATGTTCTGCTAGAACATGGAAAGATACATCGCCATAATTTTTGTCTTTCGCTCGCGGTGATTAGCGTCGTCGTTGTCGTCGCAACTATCCTAGTAGTCGGCCTGCGCGATTGTTTTCCTTCCTAGTCAGCATGAGTTCCTCTTTTCCTTCCCATTCCTCACCTCCTCTCTCCTCTCCTGATCCTTCTTACTTCCTCCCTCTGCATCCTCGTTCTGACGTTCGAACCACACAGCCCCTGCCTTGCTCTGTATATGGCTACGTTCACAGCCAGATTCAGTCAACGATAGTAGAGAGAGAGAGAGAGAGAGTCCCGCTCAGCTGTCCATGTCCATCCGCGCCCTTGCTCAACTGTCCACGTCCATCTGCGCCCTTGCTCACCGCGCCCCTGCTCAACTGTCCATGTCCATCCGTGTGCTTGCTCACCGCGCCCCCATGGGTTCTTTCTCTGGGCCCTGACCCCGATCGGCTCCGCTGCCCCGCCTGGCCCCGTCCGCTTTTCGCCCCTCCGTTTTCTCTAGGCCGACCGACGGGTTTTTGCCCCTCGGCCCTGCCCGCCCCAATCCGCTTTTCGCCCCTCGAGTTTCTTTGGGCCCTTGGCGGTTCAGCTCGCGCCCCTCAAGGCAGCCGCCGCCCAGGTTCCCAACACTGGAGACCGGGTCTCACACGGGGCGTCACGCGAGACCCGCTGTTTCCTTTAGTAGTATGCAGATAGATAGTAACTTAGTAAGGGTAATAACGAAATCGATATACTGTCATGTACATATAATATAAATAACTGTGCTACCAGCGGGGCCGCCCAGGTCACCATGCTCACCTGGGCAGCCCGGCGAGCGGATGCAGATAATGGGAGTAGTTTACCCTAAACCGTGAGGAGGTGGGAGGATTTTGCGGGGCCGTTGGCCCCTGCCATGCGGGTCGTAAGGTATTTCTGCTGGCTCGCAAAGACAGCATCGTGGTCGGAGTTTATATTTCGGCAATGGTGAGTGCAGGGAGAGCTGCAATTCACTCTGAATCGCGAGGAGGTGGTTGGGCTTTGTGGGGTCTGTGGATACAGACCCCTGCTGCGCGGGTGGCAGTGTGGTTTTGCAAGGTTTGGTCACAGTTCAGCGGATAGGCATCTGTTGGGATTTTGTTGGGGATTTTGCTGGGATCTCCAACGAAACAGTTTGTCACAGCCCCTCGTTTGTTGTCCTCTTATCCCCTCCCTCTCTGCCTACGGTTTACTGGGCAGCTCTGTTTGACTATGACGATATATTATATATTATATATATAATATATATAAATAAATTTGGACGTGCTCATGTGACCTTGTGTCGTGGATTTTTTAAATCTGATTCCGTTGCAATCTCGAGGCATGTGTCATGCATGCAATTTCATTTATTTGTTTGCTTTTGAATTTGCAATCAGACTCGCACTCTTCTTCACTTCGCATACATGTAAACAGATGGCAATTCACACTGGCGCCAAGCTCCCACCCAAAGCTCAGAGATATGGAACCCGAGAACACAGTTCAGATGCAAACTCGCTTCAACAGGCTATGGCGCATCAGCGCCTGTACATCCCAACTCTCGCCGCTGTGTTCAACACCACTTTTCGCACATACTCAACTCTGGATCACCCTGAATACCCCACACGAGTGCACTGTATCACACACCCGTACACACACACTAACACCTAACACTGTCTATGGCAGCTATGGCCGCCAACTACCACTAACTACAATCAGCTATGGCTGCGCTAATCTCCACCTCAGCCCTCTTCAACTTCAGGCCTCTGCAGACCACCTCGCACAAGACGCTAGGGCAGCGCTTCCGCATGGCTCACGCAGGAATGAATGAATGGCTGGACGCTGCCTCTTGGTTTATACTTCTGTAGGTCGTTGGTCTGCCCTTTTCCACCGGGCCCATGGTGCACACAGTCCCTCATGGTACTTGCTGACTGTGCAAAGTGAGACTGGGACTGGGTACCGCTGTCTAAGCGAAGTTGGACTCACCACTTGCCCACTTGCCTCTGGCCTACTGTGTATAACGTGAGAAGAAACATGAAAGGCCACTTCCGGACCTTCCGGAAGTTTGCGGACTTGGCCTTTCAGGACTGTAGCAGCTACGACCTTGACCTTTCAGGACTGTAGCAGCTACGACCCCTATGTAGATATGACCCTTACCTCGACAGGTCTAAGGTTCAAGACTCAACAACTACTCAGACCTATGACAGACAACTTTTCAACTACTAACACACAGGTCATGGGTTCAAGACTCAAAGCGTCGACTTGATACTGTACACAGGTAAGGTAAGGTAAGGTGAGGTCTGGGGATCGAGCCCCGGGATCCGCATCTGTGACTGCAAAAGGTGAAAACCGTTTCAAATTCTTTGTTTGTCCAATTTATGCCTGGAAAGATTGCTATTGCGTTTGATGGACACAACTTCTTTTTTTTTTTTTTTTTTAACTCTGTTGCCTGACTGCCATGCATTCTCTCTGAGTGTTAACTGCTGTCATGGTTTTTCTTTGACGTCAGGTATCTCTGACGGCACCGAAGGTCTGTGCGCGAAAGTTTCAAGGCTCTCATCACTTCCTCGGTGGCCGGTTCGTGCCGCCGGCAATTGCTGAGAAATACAAGTTAAAACTGCCCGCCTACCCTGGAACGGCAATGTGTGTCAGAATTGGTCGCTCGCCTTTGGATTTGGATGTCTCCGCTTTGCGCATCAGCTATGAGAAAGCGCAAATGACAGAGGACAAAGTGCTGGACAATCCCCTCGAACAGGTCAGTGTTTCTTTCAGAAGCTTATGGGAAGAAAAAGAAAAGTGCTTTCTTTGTAGCTTCACTTGTATGTCACTTGTATTCTCAGTTTAAGCTGCCACCTCGACATGCAAGTCATTTATATGCTAGACAATCATCGTTGTTATTGTCGTTGTGATTGCCGTTGTCGTTGTTGTTCTGTGCATTTCCATGAGTTTCCCCTCTTGCAGTCCATTATGAATGCCCTGAACTGCCTCTATAAGACGTTTAAACTCTTTTTGTGTTAGACAATCCCCTTATTGTTGTCATTGTCGTTATTGTCATTGTCATTGTTATTCTTGTTGTTGTCGTTGTTATTCTTGATGCTGTTGTTGGTGTTGGTGTTGGTGTTTTGTGTATTGTCCGTGCGCTTCTCCTGTATAGGTCAATTACGAAAACCCTGAACTACAATCCCCTTATTGACAGTTATTGTTGTTGCCGTCATTGTTCTGAAAGTCCTGAACTGCCTTCATAATTTCATAAGTCGATTGTGAAAATAAAGATAACCAAGGAGATGCAAGAAACACTTTTTTCTTCTTTCCTTCAACAAAACCAAATCAAGTCATACCTGGGTAGCACTTGACATCTGTGAATACATGGATAACGAAGGAAATGGATAAGGATACGGATAAGGAAATGGATAAGGATATGGACATCTGACAGTGTTCTGTCTGTATAGGTTGAGAATGTGGAGAAGCAGCCCCCTACACACACAAAAAAAAACAAAAAAAAAAAACAAAAGAAGAGGGTGGTGGAACACTGCTGCGGTGCTGGCATTTGGTTTCACGAGCCTAATATTGTAATGAGCGATTACGAACCTGATTGTTTATTTTTTTTGGTTACTTTTATTTTATTTTATACAAACTTATTACAAAGTATTACAAACCTGATTTTATTTGGGAGTAGCATTGATGAAAAACTTGTGGCCATTGGATCGTCAATCCAACGAATCTGTGATGACTGCAGTTTCGCATATGGTTCCAAGAAGCTGTCGCGTCAGGAACTGTCGAGCCTAACGCTATGCTGCTCGCAACTGCTAACGCACAAGGTTTTCCGTGAGTATCTTGCGCTGACTTCCTTCCTCGTTATTTTGCTGTGACCATCACACTGTCCTGTTTGTGGCAACCATGTCTGGTCAGATGCGTCTGCGGAAGTCCTATTTTGAATATGCCCTTCTTAGCTATTATAAATTTGAAAGGTTGAACTACGTTTACCTTGCCAAAAGCTGAAAAGTGTATGCTCTCTAAGTTATGATAAAAGTATGTGCAGAAACTGCAGAGGGACTTGATTGGGTTGGCAGTGCACCATGAGTGAGGGTATGTGTGGATTTTCATCTGACTCTATTTGTTTGCTGGCTTTGTCACAGGTCTGTCCGCGTCGTTCTTCTCAAGGGATACGACGAGAGGGGTTTTGTATGGTATGAGACTCTTGAGCCTCGCTCGCCACCTTTGCGTTCATTAAATAAATTAATTCTCTTTTCTGTACGGTGTTGCATTAAGGCTTCTGCGAAAATGGATTTTATGAGACGAACAGGAGTTGATCCGAAGTCTGACCAGATTCATCCTCGTCTAACACAACCGGAAGACACAAACCTGAAGTGCGAAGTGTATTGCTGACTGCGTTACCCACCGAGCCGCCAGGGTCACATTGGTTGCCTGAAAAAAAAAAATCGGGGCAAAAATCCGGGCAAGGGCCACGGAATGACCCTTCAAAAAAAAAAAAAAAAAAAAAAAAAAACTAGCAAGGTCCAAGTGCGAGGATCTGGGTCCTCGGCAGGCCTAAGGGGCCCCTGCTGCAAATTTGCCCGCCCGAAGCGAAGGCGGGCCTAACAAATCACGAGAGCCCTCAGCTGTCAATTTCGTATTTGGGGTCCAGGCAGTTTCGTCGCGCCAGTTGGTTGAGGGAAACAAAGACCGAGCAGCGAGGAAAAATCCCAGGCCTTCGAAGCCTTTCCAAAATGGTGCAGGCCCTGTGTTACATACTTCAATGAGTATGGGCAGAACCAAAGATCAACCAATGTAGGATGAGCATATATGCAGTGGAAGTCTGATAAACGGACTGACTCACATAGACTGACTCAAGAATCACTCCACACACATACAATCGTGAGATGGTGGGGTCTGGGCCAAGCATGGACGATGCCCAGATCCCGTACACCCATACACAGATGAAAGGTGGGAGGAGAGACGAAGGAGGTGGGGGAGGTAGACAGCACCGGTAGGTCACCGAGATAGAATCCGATAGGTCACCGATATGGTAGTCCAAGTGTCATCCAACAAGATCAAAATGTCGAGGACAATCAGTCACCAATGTCGGAGATACAGAGTCCAAATGTAACCGGTGTCCGAACTGTGATGCCGCCAAGTATCAACCCCAACAATCTCCAAGTCTCCAATCCGGTAAGTACCACAGTCTCATACCACCGAAGTCCAACACTGATCTCTGTCCACTAGTATAAGTCTCCAATCTGAAGAAGAAGAAGAAGAAGAAGAAGATAGAGTCTGAAGAGAAGAAGGATAAGAAGAAGAAGAAGAAGAAGAAGAGAGAGTCGAGGAGGAGATAGAGAGAGAGAGGGGACTGATGATGGGAGGGAGGAGAGAACCTCCGGCTCCCTGATACCTCAGGCGGCGATGGCCGCCGATCTGGCTCAGTCCCCCTGCTGCTGCTCCGCTCACTGCTGCTGCGCTACTGCTGCCTGCTCCTCGCTCCTGCGCTAAGAATAGCGCCAGCGCTAATGTGCGCTGTACCATACCGTACCGGTAGAATGCCGGTTGGTCGATAGCCTCACTGAGGCTGGACCGGTACTTTTGTACCGGTGGGCAGAGGTTGGCCTCTATGCTGCGAGGCCTGACCGTGCCCTGAACCGTCCAGATGGACGGTTCAGCCCCAACCGGCGGGCGGCAGCCTCAAGAGCGCCGCCAGGCCCAAATATCGTTTGGGCCGGCCCGTCGGGTCTGGTCCAAGGTAAGGCCTTTACGGCCTGTAGTACCCCCAAGGTCGGGCCTTTGGCCCTACTGTGTCCCTCTACCCCTATGTCGGGTCCGGTAGGACCCGTTTGGCGTCGAAGATGTAACACCCTGGATGAGAATCGCAGCCTCATACACAGACAGTTGGGAGGCCCAACCAAATGAGGCCCAGTAGCTGGAAGAGAGGCGCCGCATCCTGGGGCCTACCGGAAGCTTCTGGGCCCAGGCCAGTCCAGCCAGGCTGCCGAATGAGGCAGGCTCTTTCCATATAGGAAAGAGCTCGCTGCCTGGCCATTCATTCGGGCACTCGCATACTGGCGGCAGCGCTGCTGGAGCYGAAGCTCGTGGGTTGCTGCTAGCGCTGAGAGGCGAGGTGCAAGCATGTGCGGTCGTGCAAGGGGAGGAGGGCGCTGCTGAGGGCAGCGCCATAGCCCAGCCTCCATAGCTGGTGGGCTTGGATGTACGGTGAGGCGCAGGGGTGGTCTTCGGGTTTCAAGAGGGAAGACGTGGGAGTAAGACGCGGGAGAGAGAGAGAAGAATGATGATGATGATGATGTGAGGGCACATACCTGGTACTGGCGATGGTCTGCATGGGCGACATCTTCAAGTACTTCGGAGGCTGCTGATGTCAACAGTTGCATTGTCAATTAGTAGGCTAGTAGTAGCTGTGTAGGGAGTAGGCTGGGCGCCGAGCGCTAAGTAGGGAGAAAGGGACTGGATACATATGTTGGTGGTGGCGAGAGCAAGCTCTCATTGACATTGGTTTTCAGTGCTACGATTCTCCATTGGTGTCATATTGGTGCAATGCTGCTTTCTGTTCACTGTGATACGATCTGGCTTTCAATGTGATTGTGCGATCTGAATATTGTCATCTCGCTTCTGTTCATTTTCCTTGCACAAGGAATGACCCTTCGAAAAAAAAAAAAAAAGGCAAAAAATTCCGGGGAAAAAAAAGTTAAAAAACTATGTTGTGCAGAAAAATAAACTGGACAACTTTTGCACCAGGGTCACATCGAAATTCTTTGCCAAAAAAAAATTAAAAATTAGAAGATTTTTTTTTTTCCATATTTGGCCCGCCCGGGCAAGTGTTCCCGGACCACCCAGGTAACATAGGCTTTTGTTAATTAATGTACGAACAAAGCACGAAGTTCCGCCGCGAACTGCATTTCTTGAGAGCAAAATGAAGAACAAACTCCATAGCTCAATCCTTAGTACTCTTAGCTTTAACACAAACTGCGAACTGTTTTTTTTTTTTTTTTTTTTTTTTTTTTTGGAGGGTTGCAAGTGGCAGGATCCGACTTTCCATGGCACGTCTAGCCTGGGGGTGACCGCTCATCTTAAATAGTGTAATAAAGAACAATATCCATAGTGCAGCCTTTAGTGCACTTAAACTACCTTTACCTCTCTACAAGGCATTTTTTTTGCAACGAAGTTGACCCCTGGCGCAGTTTCTTCGGGCCCTCGGTCTCCGGGACCTCTGTGGCGGGTGGCACCACAGCCCGAAGGGAAAAAATGAAGTGCTGAGCCGCTTGGTTTTGGACTTGGCACGCAGGACAAGTTTTGCCATCATGAGGGGAAAGAGAGGCTTGGAGGTTTTACGAAACACTTATCCGTAACAAAAAAACACTTCTCCGTAAACTGTCGCCACTACCTACCTCTCCCAGGCAAACTTTGAGACGGGCGAGGTTGACCAGTGGCACATTCTTTGGGGGCTCAGCCCACTGGACTTCTGTGGCTGATGGCGCCAGCCCAAAAGAAAGAAAAAAGAGCGCCATGCCTGTTCTGGTTTTGAACTTGGCACGCAGCGCAAGTCCGCCATCATGATCATAAGGAGAGGCCTGAAGGTAGCAGCGGTTTAACTGAGCAGTGGGAATTGTAATGCTAAGAGCGAAATGAAGAACAAAATCCTTCAGGTACTTGTTCGTAACAAGTGTTGCAAAGCACAACAAATTGTCTTTTTTTTTTTTTTTTTTTTTTTTGTTGTTGTTGTGTGTGTGTGTGTGTGTGTGTGCTTTCTCTTATACACATCTAGATGTGTATAAGAGCCATGGTGCACACAGTCCCTCATGGTACTTGCTGACTGTGCAAAGTGAGACTGGGACTGGGTACCGCTGTCTAAGCGAAGTTGGACTCACCACTTGCCCACTTGCCTCTGGCCTACTGTGTATAACGTGAGAAGAAACATGAAAGGCCACTTCCGGACCTTCCGGAAGTTTGCGGACTTGGCCTTTCAGGACTGTAGCAGCTACGACCTTGACCTTTCAGGACTGTAGCAGCTANTTGTTGTTGTGTGTGTGTGTGTGTGTGTGTGTGTGTGTTTGTTGGTTGGATGGTTTGTTTGTTACGTGTGGAATACAGAACGGATGTCGTAGGACAAACAATCCTTGGTGCACTTATTCTGAACAAAGCATGGATGAAATGCATTGCTAAGAACAGAACAAGGTTCGAACCATGCTGATGAAATCAGATAAAACTTCGAAATAACTCGGGGCTATTCAGATCGATGATGATATCTCAAGGCGTCCACCCTTTTAAATTAGGAAAAAGGAGGAAAAAAGGAACAAAATTCTACAGGCAAAAGAAAGACAAAACCAGGGTTACCTGACCGGACGTTTGGGGGTGCCAAAAATTATTTCGGGGCCCTTTCTTCGTTTTTTTTTTTTTTCCTTCTTTTTTTTGTGTGTGTGTGTGTGGATTCTTTGCAATTGTAGTAGTCCTGGTTGGTTTTCGCGTTCAGCTAGACTTCAACTCCAGAGCTCAGGAAGTCTTGCTGAACTCCCTTTTGCCTCTCTCTGCTGATGCATTTTCATCCCTGGGTGTTTCCACTTTTCCCGGAGAACTGGCGAGAGGACGATGAAAATGCATCAGCAGAGAGAGAAGATGGGATGAATGTGGTCATAACAAGCAGTGTTAACTCACAAATGAAAAAAAAAAGAAGGGAAAAGAGCAGCATCGTTAACTCAGAACCAAACTGTGTGCATCGACCAGGTACACAAACTACAATAGCCGGAAGGGTGCTGAGCTTGCGGAGAATCCGAGGGCGGCACTAGTGTTCTGGTGGGAAGACCTGCAAAAACAGGTATGTTTCATGTACGAAAATTCCGTGCATCTCTGCCTCGATTCTTGCCACCCATGCGCTCACAGCAGAAATGTTTTTGACATTTTGAATAATACTAAACGCTGCATTTCTCTCATGCATGTGCATCTTATCCTGCATCCTATACCCCTGCAACACCTGTGCTAATTACAGCTCCTCACTTTCGAAACAATGATGTTCTCCTTGCCCCCCTCCCCCCTCCCCCCTCCCAATGCCGTGAGTCCAAATTTCCTCCAAAAATCCAGTGAAAAAAATTGCAGTGTGATCGCGTTCAATCGGATCATAGTTGCACAACGGAGACGAGAATGTACGTTGATATGTGTGCAGACTGGTGCAGATAATGTACCTGGCCGTCTTTACATGTCGTGGTACATTCTGACAGTGTTGCAGTTGTATTAGACCCACGTACCTGGCCATCTTTACGTGTAAGTGCGTTCCGACAGCATCAAAATCGTGGAAGTCGATTCGGTTTCAAATTCCAATCGATTGCAAATCCTTCTCTCGCAATCAGGCATGACCAAGTAGTGATTACGGAGGTTCTTATCTCCTTTTTTCAAGTTTTTTGAACTTTTTTTAACTTTTTTCCTTTTTTTAAGACAAAAATTACAGCTGTCTTCTCCTCTTTTTTTTTCTTTTTTTTTTGACAGTTTTTTCTTTTCTTTCATACCCTATTTTATTCTCTCTTGCCTTACACTATCCATCCGTCTCAATGTCCTACGGTCCTACCTTCACAAGTCCTACTTAACTACCCATGTCGACGCCTCGCCCTACAGGCCCTACCGAGCTGACAACAGAACAGAGAAGCACTACCTGCCGACGGAGGACGCTTAAATAGTAAATACCCTATAAGCAGAACCAGTTACCCTAAGGGTTATGGAACTTATGGGTCTATTTCTTGAATTGTTTTTTTTTTTTTTTTTTTTTTTTTTTTTTTTTTTTTTTTTTTTTTTTTTTTTTTTTTTTTTTTTTTAGTTTTGTTTTTTTTTGTTTTGTTTAGGAAGTTTGTTGATTTTACTTGTTTTTCTTTTGCCTTTTTTCAAATTTTCCTTAGTATTTGTGCCTGTGTGTCAAATTGAGAGAGAAAAGAAAAAGATGTGCTTGGATGGAGATTGGGAGAAGGAGGTGCAGGGGAGAGAAAAAAAATTCCAGAGAAATGAACATGCGAAAGCACGCTGATATGATTTCCATTCAACAGGTGCGGATCGAGGGTCCCGTTGAGAAAGTGTCGGACGAAGAATCAGACGCGTACTTCCACAGTCGGCCACGTGGCAGTCAGCTTGGAGCCTGCGCTAGCATGCAGGTGTGTGCGCCTCTCCTTTTAAAACCCAAA